TGGGGATGGTAAATTCGCATTATTTCCGCCGTATGCCAGGATGCCCCTATTTGCAGGCTTCTGCTGATTATTCACTTTATCTCCTCGTCTTCATTGAGATGGTATTAACGAATCAAGTTATATGAAAGATCATACGTTTGCTTCAATTGTTTTGCATGTGAATTCGATAACGGCATCTTCATACTGTGATCAATCCGAATACGATTGTTCCTGTACTGATCGAGCGAATCATTTAAAAGATGAAGCTTTGTATGGCTTTACTGCAGAATTGGTCGCTCTAGTAACTTCAACAGGAAAACAAGTTCAAAACGGACCCTGGGAAAGAATAAAATAAAGAACTCACTTTGAAGCATGTAGCCATTTAACAAATGTAGCTATCTTGCTGTATGGACAATGTTGTCTGAATGTAACTTCGTGGAGCCCCGTCATTACCCAAAGGGGGAAATTCTACTGCAGGATGGCGAAGATGCTGCTGAAGCTTCTGGCCGCGGCGCTGTGTCTGGCCACCTCCAATGCGCTGTATGCCGACCAATCGGGAGAGTTCGACTGGAGCACTGAGAATGTAGGACGCGTGCAGGCCGTGGCCTTCGGGGGCTCCGTGAGTCGTGGGCCGCACTCGGTTGTGTCTAGAGGCACCACACGCGCTGTGTACGTCGCATCGGACGAGCGCTCGCGGGCTCTGGCACGTCTAGACTCCAAGACTGGCGAGATCCAGTGGCGCCGCGTATTCGTCGAAGGTTAGGACGGACATCCTGGTGAAATCCTGACCGAATGAGGACATACCTGACAATGACGTGGATATGACTATCTAGGGGATGCTATCAACGACATTCAGCTGACGAATTACGGTCTACTGTCAGTGTCGGGGTAAGTCAGATAAGTTATTCTTATTGAGGAGACGATATCTTTTTAACCTTATCTTTTGTAGATCTGGACGTAATGTACGACTCTGGGACTTAAACACGGGCGTGCTGCTGTGGGACGAAGTGACCAGCAAGGGTCCGGCTCAAAAAGACGCCGTTTTCGGCGGTCTCTTCTCTCTGGATGGCGATCACTCGGTTGTGCTTACATCCTCAAGTGTAGCTATGGTGAGCGTTCGCGACGGCCAAGTCAAGGTGCAGACTCTTCCCGAGGACTTCACCAAGGCAGCCGTGGAGGCTGCTGAGCTGTCATGGCAGGTTGGATCGGACAACACAGCATTATTCGTTATGGCAGGTAGTCAAATGTTGGAGTTCGAGCTGGCTTCGGGACGTGCAGTGAACCAGTTTAAGCGCCCGGAGATCAAAGAAGGAGACAAGGGCGACGTGCAGGCTACTACAGTACTACGTCGTGACAGTGAACAGGGCAAGACGGCCGCAGTCACGCTTACTAAGGACCAGCTGCTGTTACAAGGACTGGAGAACAAGAAGGACGCGTCGGAGATCGCTCTGAGCTCGCTCAAGTTGGACGGGGACAAGGTGAAGGCTATTGACACCAGTATCTCGAACTCTCTGGTGCTGGTTCTGGCCTCAGACAAGCGTGCAATCCTGAAGATCACGAGTGCGCTGAAGGTGGAGGTTGCTGCTATTGTGGCCGCTGAAGGAGCTCTGATGGAGTCGGTCACGGATGATTCAGTGCTCTTCCATGCTGCTAGAAGTACTGACATTGTGGCACAGATGACGTCGTATACAGTGGGCAAGAGCTTGAGCCCAGTCTCGTGGGAGGCTGAGCTGGACTTGGCTTCGTTCGGTGGAGATGTCTCGCGTGCGTTTGTCGGCTGCCCCAACACGAAGAAGGACTCGGTTCCGAGCTGTCGTGCTGTGTTGGTTCTCAAGGACGATGCTTTGATCATGACGTCTAACGACGAGGAGACTGATGCTAACAACGGGAATGTCCAGTGGGTACGCGAGGAGTCTCTGGCCAATATCAAGCGTGTGCGTTGGATTACACCAGCCGAGACGGAGATCGAGAAGCAGGCGTTGAAGAAGATTCCTTCTTTTATGGAGGAGGTGGAGCTTGAGATCAAACATCTTCAACAGCTTGTGGAGAAGGTCATGACGTTCTCGTCGACGTTGTTTGACGAGAAATCTCGTCAGCGTGGGGTGGACAGATCTCGTGCTGCACGCAAGGAACCGCCCAACGCTCATCTGTTCGGCTTCTCCAAGTACATCATGATTCTTACGCACAGTGGCAAGCTGTTTGCGATCCGCGCTGAGGCCAGTACTGTGGCGTGGTCTGCGTTCGTAGGTCCGGAATACCAGCTCTTTGTGACGCGTGATCACCCAGCACTTGGCTCTGGAGCGGAACTGCTGCTTGTGTCTAACTCGACGGAGCTCGTGTGGCTTGACGGTGATGATGGCCACCAGTTGGATGCAGCAAGAGCTGGAGCTACGATTGGCGCTTCGTGGGTGGTTGTTCTACCCAAACGGAAGCACCTGACGACGGATGAAGAGCCGACGGCGCGTCGTGCTGTTGCTGTGATTGCAGAGGACTCGCTGAACGTGTCGCTCTACCCGAAGGAGACGGCGGACTTCGCTCACCCGGAGCTGAACCACTTCTACTTCTACCGCTATGATGAATCTTCGAAGGTGCTTCGTGGATACTTTATTGAGAACGAAGGAGACGCCAAGTCGACCGACTACCGTGCTCGTGAGGCGTGGTCTATTGTTCTGCCTCGTGAGCAGCAGGTGATTGCTACGTCTCACCACCACGATCACTCGGTTGTGGACTCTGCCGTGACTATTACTGGCGATGACTCGCTGTTGATCAAGTACCTGAACCCGAATCTGTTCGGCCTTGCTACGATTGCTTCGGAGCCTTCAGAAGGAGACAACGAGGCCACTTCGGTGCTTCACGTGAGCTTGATCGATTCCGTGGCGGGTCGTATCATCCACCGCGCGCGTCACTCGCATGCCACGGGTCCTGTTCGCATGGTGCAAAGCGAAAACTGGCTGGTGTATTCGTACTGGAACTCCAAGGAGAAGCGTACAGAGATGGTGTCATTGTCGCTGTTCGACGGTGCCGTGGGGATGCACTCGCTCAACCCGTGGAAGCGCCCGTCGTGGACGTCCTCACGTTCATCATTCGACTCCAAGGCGCCGTTCGTGCTGCAGAAGAGCTTCATCTACCCCACCAAGATCACGGTAAGTGGTCACCGAGTTCCTCCTCTTTAAGTATAGTTACTGATTCTGTTACCATGTTGTAGTCGCTGGGAGTGACGGTGACGGCTCACGGCATCACGCCTCAGTCCGTCCTGGTCGGGATGGAGACTGGCCAGATCTTCAAATTGACTCGCAACTTCATCGACCCGCGTCAACCGGAGAAGCCGCTGACGCCTGAAGAGCAGGCGGAGGGTCTGATGATGTACTCTCCTCTTGTGCCCGTGTACAACCGTCCTCAGGCCATGTTGACGTACAACCGCACCGTGGAGAACCTCAACTCCATCAGCACTGCCGCGGCGGAGCTCGAGTCGACTACACTGGTGTTCGCACACGGCCTCGACATGTTCTACGTGCGCATGACTCCGGCCAAGTCGTTCGACCTGCTGCCATCCGACTTCAACCACGAGATGCTCATCCTGCTGTGCTTGACTTTCCTCGCCGTGACGTTCGGTGCCAAGGCGCTGGCGCAACGTAAGGCACTGCAGACGGCCTGGAAGTGACCAGTTAGTAGACAAGAACACAGTTAGCCAACACGAAATACACGCTTCCTCTTCGATGGTCTTGTTACCGCTGCTCCTACAAAACAAATCGGGGTCTAAGCAACTCAATTTCTCAGTGTCCACTAGCGGCACTACGGAAGGACCAGTGGTTGGGGCGTCGGCCGTCCAGACGCGCCTTGCGGTCGGCACGCTGCAGCACCTCGAGCTTCACCTTCCACTCCTGCGATTCGTCCAAGTCGCCTCCTGCCAGGTAGTGCAGATCCTCGCGGAATCTCGAGTCAGACGGCAGAATCTTGTCTTCCGGGTACGGCATCATGTAGCCACTCTGGAACTTGTTGATGCTCCAGTACGTCTTGTTGCCGAAGACGAGGTCATGCAGCCATGAACCGGTTACGTCACAGATCTCACGGGGAGGGGACACAGAAGTGTCCAAGATGACACCGCGCAGCGAGTCGGTGGGTGTCTTCGAGCTTGAGAACATTCCGCCCATACCCGACTTCGCATCGGGATTGAGGCGCACCTCGCACTGCAGACGGTTCTTCTTGTCCTCAAACACCATGTTGCCCATGATGTCAACCGTACGGTCCCCCCACAACAAGCCACCGATCTGCAAGTAAGGCAAGTTGTACTCGATGGTAGTTCCGGGAAGGCCTTCAGCGTCAGGGAACGTGACACGCACTGGTCCCTTGTTCGTGTTGAGCATAGCGTTCGACTTGACGCTCATGCTGGCATGCCAGAGCACGAAGCCGGCAATAGAGTACTTCTCGCCTGTAAACTGGAAGTTACTGATAGGCGGGTGGTGGCTCGTGTGTTCGCAACTCACATCGGTGCCATCGTTCAGTGTGGACTGGTACGTTTCACCCAAGATTGGGTTAAACGGCTTCAATTGTCCAATACTGTGGTGCAGACCGGCCACAGCGAATGATATGACATACTTGAAGCGCTCCAACGCGTCGTTCTGCGCATACGCAGTGTTCAAGAACGTCGGCGCGTACAGCATCAAGTCGCACACACGCTCCAGATTGGTACGAGGCTCGAAAATGCGCACAGGAAGCGACAAACTAACAGCCGACTTGCCCTCCAGGATCTTGGCTCCTGCAGACTTGATCACATCCTTCACCACGCCACCTTGTTTCTTGGCAATCTCCTTGTCGATCAGCTTTAGACCACCGCTAGGCAACGGCATCATGCCGCGCATGTACGTCTTCGGGTGGAAGATCGCGGACGATTCTCCGTCCACAATTTCTCCGAGCCCGCTTGCTTCGCTCGCGTCGTCATATCCAACGCTACGAGACTCTAATTCTCCTTCTCCATCTTCGTCCAGACCGCCACCGAATCCAAGCTCTGATCCACACAACTGCGCCTGGTTCACGTACTCACTGAGGACGGACACGCAGTCCAAGCGCGACAGCAAGAAGCTCTGGCGTGTGGCAGGTGAAAGCCATCCCTTCATATCCAAGTCGGTAATGTACGTGGCCAGCGTAGCATGACCTGAGTCTACCGGCTCGAGCAACCAGCCGCTCAGTCCAACGTGAGCACGCACAGTGCCCGAGATATCGGGTTTAAGCTCGTTAACCACGGACTTCTCAAGGATAAGCACCACAGACTGACCCATCTCGTCCTCAGACTTGTCGTCGCTCGAGTCTTGCGAATCAGGCGCAGCAGACTCGCGCACATGACGAAGAAGAACCAGGTCACGCGGTGTCGTCAGCGTACTGTAGTCAATACTGCTCGCAATGCCTCCAATCGCTGCTGCATACACCATCGCAGTGAGAAGCGCTTCCCAAGACGAAGCCCCCGAGAAGAGAGCAGCGCACAAGGCACACGCAGCAGCAGCCACATGAGGCGCCACAAAGGGCTTGGTGTGCTGGACCTGGGCAAAGCTGCCACTTGACAAATGCACCAGGTCCGTGGCGTCGTCGAAAGTGGCTACATGGGCCGAATGGGGGAAGTGCACGTCCCACTCAGCACGACGCGCGTGGTCTGCCAGTAGAATGGCTGCAACTTCTGACGATACAGGCAGCGACACACTAGCACGCGCATACTGTTTGCCTGAGCTTGAGTCCGTCCCAATGCTGCGTAAAACTCCATTCACTGCACCAATAGGACGGAACGCCACGTGATTACGGATCGAAGATCCCGTGCTGCGACCAAGCAGCGCTTCCAGTACGTCCAGGCCGTGAGAAAGCTCGTTCTCCAGTGAAATCGTCGTCGGTAGACGCTGCGTCTTGGTACGATGAGGGCGATGGTGATGCTGGTGCGAGGGTGGCGCTGGAGTGCTAGTGGAGCTGCCAACTGCTGACGGAGCTGACGTCAGCCTCGTGGTACGCTTGATATCCCCATTAGCAGTCGTAGTATTCGAACTTCCAATGGTAGACGCTGACTTGAGCGTAGCTGCGCGAGTCTGTGAAGGTCCCAGCGACGCCGCGCGCTTAAGATGAGCGCGACTGTCCTCGTCGTCAGAGGATGAGGGCGCCTGAGCCTGTGGTCTGTGCTGCTTTCTGCTGTTATTCTGTTGTGTATTGGTCTCACTTGTGCCATTGTTGACGCGAGCTACAGCCACGCGAAGCACATCGAGCCACTGGGTTACGACAATCCCTTCCTCGGCTGATAGACAGTACATGATGCCTGTGGCTGGGTCGGTTAGGTAGATGCGGGGCGAGTTCCACGTCTCGCTCAGTCCGCCGTCCTGTACGGTGCAGCCTTCCAAGGGGATCACAGCGTTGGGCTTGCGGTCTTTCCTGGAGATGTAGTAGGACAGCGTGCGACCGTCGCACACGAACCAGCGGCGCTTCCAGCCTTTAAGCCGCTGGCCTTTCTTCTGTAGGAAACCCTCCTTCATGTAGCGAGGATCGTAGTCGGGCATCTCCTCCACGGGCACCCGCTCGGGCCACTGAAAGTATCATGACAAGTTAGGGTTTTTGAAGCTTGAGCTAAGGTTTTCAATGAGGGTTTCCAACACGTACGTCGTTGTTGACAAGGTCATTGAAGCGCTGTTGCGCGTCCTGAAGCGCTTGCATGGCTCGGTCTCGCTTGCGTTCACGAGCCGCTGCCCCCGCCTCGCCGTTGGCGCTGCCGTTTCTGTGGCCGCTCTGGTCCTTCGTGGTGGGCGTCTACGCCTGGGTGAGATCCGCGAGCTGCGTCGGGAGTCTCGACACACGCGCGCGAGGGGAAAGAGGCGGAGTGGCGCGGACACTCGAAGAACGGAGTCCGCCACGTGCGCAGAAGCTGCGGATTGAGGCCGGAATAACCAGCCGGCTAGGAGCTGTCCGGCAAAAAGAGTCCCGTCTCCGATACAGATGAACGCCTCACGTGGCATTTCGTGAGAGGACAGCGACAAGATGAAACCTCAAAGCAGCAAACAGCCTGCGTAAATTAATGCAATTTTACGACGTGATGTAATTTATATCACAGATCATATTAAAATAAATAGCATTTTGTATGCTTTTACCATAAATACGTTATCCATGATAGCAGCTATCTACTCTATATCAAGATTAGCAGGTCCATCTGTCTTTTGCTTGAAGCCCCTCAAGTAGCAATAACACCACGAAGAGACACGAGCTAAAGAGCGTCGCGTCGCGGCCGGGATACTACAACAGCCGACACCTCCAAGTCCAAACGTTGTGCCTTCCCAAGACACTGCTGGACGTGTATCCATCGGTGACGTGTCAACCTCAGAGACGAGCCAAGTGCAAGCAACCATGAGCACTGCCGCGTATCAGGTCCGTGCTCGCTGCCCGTTCCAGTCGATGTGTATTGCTAACTTCGTCATCTACAGACGCCCGACTCAAAGAAAGAGGAGTTCAGGAAGTACCTAGAGAAAAGCGGCGTCGTAGATGCGCTGACTAAAGTACTAGTGGGTCTCTACGAGGAGGCAGACAAGCCGCCGAACGCCGTGGACTACGTCAAGCGCTTCATGGGCGCCCCAACAGGTATCGACGTCGACGCACTGCGGGCTGAGAACGAGGAGCTCAAGAAGAAGAATGCAGAGCTCATCAAGACCATCGAGGAGCTCAATAAACGCGTAAGGAGGTTAGCATTATCTTAACGCAAAGGAGAGTTGTACTCACGGGGTCTTTTGTTATGACAGCTCACGACGGAGGAGGAAGAGGAGGAAGCCTAACTACTACACGCTCAAAATCGAGGTCGCTGCGTCGCTAGTGGCTGTATCTATTGCTCCATGATCACTTCAATATCACTCTCCATTGCACTGTGTATCCATTGCCGTAGACTTAAGTGCACTGCGCCAGGAGCTCCGTGATGTTGTCCTGCACCGACTGCTTCTGGCGGTTCAAGTAGTTCTTACGTGCCTCAAGGGACGACACCTGCTCGTCCACGTGCTTCTCGTCGTTCTTCAAAGTAGCAACGTTCTCCTCGCTGTCCGTTTGCAGGAACATCTTGCCGATGCTGCGGTACGTTTTGGTACCTTCCGGCAGGTCGGCCACCTCGCGCTCGACGAGAGCCAGACGCTTCTTTTGCCGACTGTAGGCCGCCAGCTTAGCTTCGATCTGTTCTAACTCACGCTGGATCTTCTGGAACTGCGGCTGCAGCTCTTGAAGCTCCTTAGCGACGTGCATAGGCACCTGGCGACCTCCTCCCTGGGTTGAGGCAGCGCTTTTGGGTGCCACTTCCTGGTTCAGCTGGCGTAGTAGCTTCTTGATGCCCGGCACCTTATCAGTGTCCGTGGCCGTAGTCTGCGCAGTCTTGAGCGTCTCAATGGCCTCTTTCTTGCGGCCCAACTGCTGCTGCGCATTGGCCAGGCGGTGGTATCCCTTGGCAAATTTGGGGTTCCGCTTCACGCACTCCTGAGCGTCCTTCTCGGCCAACTCCCATTTGCCCACGGCGCCATAGGCGGCACTGCGGTTAGAGTAGTAGACATGGTTATCCGGACCCAGGCGAATGGCCTGTAAATGCAGATATTGAGTAACGAGTAGCAATTGATCAGTTGGAATTAATGATTGATCTACCTCTGAGTAGCACTCGATAGCCTTGTCAAAGTTCTTCTCGTTGAACTCTTCGTTGCCGAGCCTGTAATAGCAGATATATGGTAGCATAGGTTGTGAGTAAGCGGTGACGTCGACGTGCAAGTTAGCCTCAGGACCACGCACGTCTTCTGCGCCTCGGCGGCTTCGTGTAAAGAAGCCATCGCGGTGGATCTCCTTGTCACCAGACAAAATACTGGAGGCACGAGAGACCTTGGAAAACGGATTTAAAAATATGCTTTTTGGTAGGATCGGTAACTGCTAACAAAAAAGAAGCATTCGTCGAAAAACATGGCAATTATATTTTATTCTTTAAAACGAAATGTCATTCATTTATTTATTTTAAGAAGTGCAAACAACACGTCGCTGTGTGTTGGCCCAACAAGATCTCCCTCCTCCAGCAGTGTTGGTGGAGGGAGCTCTGGTTTTGCTATTCCAACTCATATACGTTAAGTTCATTCATGTTAAAAAAAAAGCTAGGATTATAACGCAGCCACTATGAGAAAATCGATCCATATAGTCCAAACGGATCTGGAAACCGAAGTCAAATCTTTATTCTGGGTTATTTAGGCAAAAAAAAATAAAAACCTGCAATATCTCGCTGCTGATTACATGTATGTGCGTGACAGTACAGTGGATTAAGCATATGGCTTGCTAAGGTCCAACCCAGCAATGCTATATCAATCAAGGATGATACCCAATGAATACTAATGCCGTGCCTCGCCCGGGAAGCTCTGGATATTTGGATACTTAATATTTAATATTATAATATGTGTCAATACTAATGAAGTACATACCGTAACAACGCCAAAAAATGAAACTCGTTCAAAGTATTTTTTTTAAGAAACAAATTACTTTTTCTAAAAAAACTTTTTTATTGTTTTTTCAAAAAAGTGTTTCTTTTAATTTTTGACATGCTAAAATACTTTTTTCAAAACGTCTTCATTTCAAAAACTTTATTTTTAATGGAAAACACCAAAAGTTCATAATAAAGTGTTTTTTTTAAATTTATTTTCGGCGAAAACAAACCCCTGAAAATCGGATCATTCTTGGTTCGTTTTAGCTTGATGCTGCGGCGGAGCAGGCCTGAGTCAGCTGCAACGTGAGACGGATAGTGTACCGATATATTTTTAAAAATGTTATTTGACAGGATCGTCGACGCTTTCCGATCGCCCCTAAAACTATACCCAGAGAACTCGCTCGTCTTCTATAATAGTTACACAGGTTTTAACAAATCTTCACTCCGAAACTTTCTTAAGAAAACGAAACCGCAGATCTGTGTGAAGTAGAGATAAGATTTATCATCAAGCACAGATTCAAACCAAAGTCGCATATATAACTGGCTCACGTTCGGGCTGTATAAGTAGAGTGGAGTTGAAGATGATGCCATCTTTATCCATTTAAGCAGCATATAACTCAGCGACAGTGTTACATCAACAATTCCATTACTTGTTCTGTGGACCAGCAATACAGTAAGGCTTCGACTTAAAAACCACCTCGCTCAACCACAGCGTAGAACGCGTTGAGCTTGCACACAATTGCTTTCTCCTCACGTGTAGCTGCACCGTATCCCTTACTGAATGTACTGGAAATAGAACGCTTTGAACTTCGACACGATCGCTTTCTCCTCAAGCGTAGCTCTGGCATATCCCTTCCCGAATGTGCTGGACAAAACGCTCTCTGGACGTATGTTATTTGCTATCCACGTGGCAAATTGTTTCCTCTGCAACGTAGTAGCGTCCGCTGTCGTACTTGCACTGTTCAAAATCAGCGCAAGTTCTCTTTTACTACCAAACTTCTGTTCCAACGTCTTGATCAAGTTGCGTTCCCCACCTTTCAGCGCGATAAACTTTGCCAACGCGTCTAACTTTTGGCTAGTAGTTTCTGCACCTTGATCCTTATTAATATTCAGTCTCGCGAGCATATCGTCAACGGATTTCCAACCCTGTGTCTGTAACTTCTTCGCGGCATTACTTGTAGCTGGGTCATCCAACGCCGATATGAGCTTAATTGCCACATTTGCTTCTCCAAAACTGTTCCTGTAAAACTCAATCAAAGGCGTTTCGCGTGTGGATTGCTTCAAGTTATAATTCTCGAAGTAGTTCGCGAACTTGAGAAGATTATCGGCTGCAAATGCGTTATCGATGTCGTCGTGAAGCTTTAGCCACTGAAAAACGTTTGCCGGCGATTGACGTTCGCGTGCCCACTTACTGATTAGAGAAGTTTCCAACTCCTCGGCCTTCGCCTGAGTACGGGAGTGTTTCTTTGCTGTCTGTAAAAGCTCGCCTAATTTCTCTTCACCACCAAACCCTTTAATCAAGGTGCTGAGCAGAGAAGTTTGATCAGCCTTCTTTTTATTAGCGTTGACGAGCTTGATGTAGTCATCCATAACCTCCAGCTTGCGACTGGCAAACACGTTGTACCCGTCACCACGAATCTTCAGTAGCTTGAAAACATCGTCAGCGGAGTTGCCGTCTCTCTGCCACCTTGTAAGTTGCTCTTTTCGCAATTCTTGGATTTGTCTTGCAACTTTTATACTCAATGCTTCGCTCTCGTCAGCCACGAGCGCCTTCGCCAGAGCGTCGTCTCCATATCGTGTGGTAAGTGTCCCGATCACCGAGATCTTTTTAAGGACATGCTTGGAGTTAAATTGTTTAACTTGCCCAATCATTTGCATTAGATCTGAGGTGTCCATAATACGCTCGAGTTTCAATTGCGCCGCCACCATAACCTCATATTTGTTACGGCTTACCAGCTTCTCGGCAAGCTTCGACGCGCCGTCCTTGAGCTTGGTTGTCAGCCCCGAGACTATGGTACCCCCGATGGCCCTCTCTTCCTCAACCTCATCGTAACGTCTCAACAGTCTGTTAGATGTGCCACCGTTCTGATGGTCAGCGAAGGAATGGAATGTAGATACATAATCCGCCGAGGTCAGCTCGTAGGAGGCGACTCTTTCAACGTTTGCCAGGAGAATAAAAGGAAGTATCCACAGAAGTGCGGTCGAGCACCGACGCATTATACGAAAGGCTCAATGCGGTTGATGTTGCAAATGGCGAAGTGAGAGGGTGAGCTCAATTATTCGCAGCGTACATGTAATAAATGTACGGTGTGTTCTTCAGTACTGCGTTCTTGTTAAAAGCGTAAACTCCGTAAGTACAGATGTACCACTCAATAAGGAAAGTGAGGTCTTGATTCTAATCCTACAGTAATATTTAATATAGAAGGAGCACAGCTTACAGAAAAGAGAAAAAGTGTATCAAAAATCAAAGATTATACGTTCATGTGAGTGCGCATATTTTAAGAGGGATGTCTGTTTATGAAGTAAGGAGTTTATGCATTTATTCACATGCTATTAGGTAAAGTAATAGAAAACGTAAACTCCGTTGTCCCGTCGTTTCCAGCGTCAGTAGAGTGTTCGAGCTCCAACAGTTCCTAAGTGACGAGTACCTCCCTTGCTTTACACCTTCCTAGTTTTTTATTTTTATTTTTTTTTTTTTTTTTGACAAACTGAGATGTATGTTCCTTGGTTAGCGCATGCAACTCGAAATTGACAAAGTTCAGCGCTTAAGTTGGCTGTCCATTCCACGGTTGGCTAGGCGCTATAAATCAAGTTTCCAAAGAACCTCTAATAATGGGTCATTTCTACACCAGAGGATCTGGATGATCCTTTACTAGCAAATCTGAAGTTAACTTGCCCTCCAACTGATAACTAGTATCGGTTGGACGGTAGTATTTCCCTCGTCGGAAATGCCGCCGAACACTTTGCTGCAAAGTCTTCACCCTCGCTAGCTTTCTGGTCCATTTCTCTCAGACGCTTCCACAGAATGATGACTACCGATGGTGGAAACTGACACAATTGGCTAACGGTTGGTCTTTTCAATGCATCATAACGCAACTTGCTTCGAGAAGCACAAGCAACGGATTCCACTCACCTGTCTGCAAAACGTCAAGACCATGAAAATTGCTGCTCTCGCTGTTGTCGCCGCAATTACTGTCGCGAACGTTGCTGCCGCTGATCAGCCTGCTCTGCGTTCGGCTGCTACTCCCGCCGAGGCAAATCCTGCTGCGGGCAAGACTGCTGACGGAAATAAGAAGGAATTCTGGGGTGGCTTTGGCGGTGGCTGCTGTGGAGGCTGGGGTGGAGGCTGGGGCGGAGGCTGGGGCGGAGGCTGGGGTGGCTGGGGATGGTAAATTCGCATTATTTCCGCCGTATGCCAGGATGCCCCTATTTGCAGGCTTCTGCTGATTATTCACTTTATCTCCTCGTCTTCATTAAGATGGTATTAACGAATCAAGTGATATGAAAGATCATAAGTTTGCTTCAATTGTTTTGCATGTGAATTCGATTACGACATCTTTGTAATGAGATCAATCGAAGTACGGTTGAAGTCAAGTGGATCGCTTATGAAATATACTTTCTTTATTGCTTCACTTTGCATGAGTCATTTCTACAGGAGAACAACATCATGACAATAAAAAATAGCTGAAACTTCGTTTTGCAAACCTTTCGGGAGCTTTTATAAAATCGTCAGGATTAAGGTGTACACCTTTCGTTCTCTGCTTCGCCCCCAGTTTTCTTAACCACACCCATCAGGTTATCTCTTTGCAGGACTATCTTCCACTGCGATCCCAGCGGTCACATATTGTCTTGATCGCCGCTAATTGTAATACAAATCATATTTGCTGTACTTTTCATATATTATAGATGCTGCCCATCTCGAATAGTTCCGTGACGTGCCATGAAAATCGAAAAGTCGTTAGTTTGCCAATAAATCATTTTACTTTGTCAGCAAAAACCTCGGATGTACAGTAGTCAAATTATCTTTTCACTACAGAAAATAAGTAGGAGTCTCATCTCATTGTTTTGTAGATTTACCCCGTTTGACGCCGACGCCATGGACATGAGCGTTTCGATGTAAAAAAAAAGGTTTAAGCAAATAACGGGGGAAAACAAGTGTTTTGAAGAGATTGCCGATGGGGAATGCATTTCATTCGTCTAAATATTTCGCTCGCGATTGCTATCCTGAATACTATTGCCCGGCCTCAGGCCTCATATCGACTTGGATCACTATTACTATCACGGGAACTCCTGCTACGTACGTGCGACTTGCTTCGCTTGTGGCTGACCTTGCTGTGAATTGCTGTTATTTAGGCATCAGTACATCGATTTTCTATGGATATTACTTTGAGCATTACAAGTGCCATCACCATAACACAACCATTATCCTGGGCGAGCAGCTAGAAGAGCTATGCGGACAACCTCAAACAGATTAATTCGTTCCACCAGTAGCGCAAGCAACTTTCACTATCACATCAGCCACACAGCATTTACATAACTGACACGCTAAACTGCAAACGCGTTCCTACAAACCTTTTCGAAACAAACATCACGTGCGTCTGAAGCACACTAGTGAATCGTAAGTCGTGATGCGTTAAATTCTCTCATCTTGACTTCAAAGGCCAGTGCAATACCATTTTTATTGTCGTGAAACTAGCGTTTAATTTGAACCGTTTGGAAGATCCAAAGCGCAAGCTAAATCAAAGAGCGCTATCAGAAAACAAATATGACCCTATGCTGCAACTGCAACGCCAATTTTCAAGAGCACGGGTTCTTTTGTAAAAACTTATTACGAATCCCGCTGCGGTGTAAGGCTTTCACTTTATCGCGATTTGCTCTTTTCTCTTTTTTACGTCATATAGTAAACAACTTTTTTATTAAAAAAAAATGAGTCTTTAGACTCTTCTAAAAATTCATACTTACTTCAGTTTGTAAGTAATTTTTCTATGGACAATTGCAGGAATAATAATTCCTATAAAAACAAAAACAAAAAAATTGAAATCGTATCTTGCTGTTATGGATGTTATGGATACATGTATGCTTCCGCGCTTTAAATCAATTATGCTGCGTTAAAGCAAATCCATCTGCGAATCGTGGCGAGATCCTTGTACCAGCGTGTGATTGTGTCCGCCTACGGGAGCTCCGCATTCCGGGCAGCGGGTTTGTTCCATTGCCATCCCGCACTCACCAATCGAGTACGAGTGGCCATTCTCACAACGGTACCAGTGCCCCGAGCCTCGGAGTTCCCCTTGCATGGCGGTCTTGATAGCTCTGATCTCGTCCACCGACACCTTCTGGTAAAACGTGCTATTCCTCGCACGCTGAACAACGCTCAACAGTTTTTGGCGAAGGTGACGCACGTCTTCGTCATACTTGGCTAGAAAGGATGCAGCATTCGTCTCCAGTTTAATCAGTACGCCCTGCACCTCAATTGCGGCCCGTATGACTGCTTCCTCGCGTGTTTTACGCTCCTTCTCCGTTTTCACAGACTCGCTTAGTATCTCTTCAGCATTTGCCAGTAGTATCTGCACCAACACCAACCGCGCTTCACCTGTTTGCATCGTAAAAGACCCTTTCTCGAATTCATTAATCGCCTGTCGTGCGTATTGCGACGCCTTGGTCTTCATTGCGCCAGTGGCTAACTGAGAGAGCTGCGCAGAGAGAAGGTTGAAGTATCCGAGGTATGGGAACTTTGAGTCCGGTACGGGAAGAGTACTCATATCGATGGCCACGTCGCCGCCCCCTTGACCACCTTTGGACTTCGTCAGCAGCGCCACACATGCCTCAAAAGCTTTCTGACAAGGCGGCCTCTTCACTGTTGCTCCAAACACACGAAGGTCGTGACGCAGCGTTTTATCGCGAGCTAGATCTTCAGTCTCAACCACAAGGTTTGCGCGCTCTTGAAGTGCCTTAATCTGGCGATGAGAGTGCGTGATAAAGTTCTTCTCCGCAGCATCGATAGCTGCTCTTTTGGTTATCCGGCCATAGCGACGGAGACCCCGGACCGGCTTCTTGCAATTTGGACACTGAGGCGTATCGATATAACCCCCAGGAAGAGGGCTAAGAGGGCTCCCCTTACTGTCGTAGTACGTGCTCATTTGAAGCGTGCCATCAAGTGTAGCCATCGTGTACACCATCGAACAGCACGGAAGCACTAGAACGGGGTCCTCCGAAGGATCAATTTCTCCATATGTCTGGAAGAGAATCACGTCAGCCACACGTTGTTTCACATCGTCATCTGCACAGATATGACAATACTCTTGCGAAGGACAATCTTCTCCACAGACACTCGGGCATTGGTGACCACATGAGAGGATCTCTGTGCATCGGAGGTCGCATAAGCGTCGATTGCACGGAGCACCACAAGGTAGAGGACAATCCCCACAATGCTCGCAACTCCAACAGCACCGCTCTGCACACGCAGCACAAGGTTCACTGCATGGATGATTACAAGACCCATGCTCACAGCTGAACACGTCACAGACACGTTGACACGGAGGGCAGGGTGCTGTTCCATGACAAAATCCTCGACATCTGTGACAGCAGGGCAACAATCGTTCACACTCCTTTCGGCACGCACCGTGTTCGCTGGGTTTGATTGGGAAATCCGGCTCTGGCTCCCCTTCACGGGCCTTCAGCGTGTTTGCAACACACTCGCTACATTTACGCGAGCACGGATGGCCGCACGGAAGTACCACACCGCACTTTTGCATGCATTTGACTCTCGTAGTGCTACAGGTAACACGCTGCATGTGTCCGCATTCTAGAACCAGCTTATCAACTGGTGCTTTACACTTGAGTTTCGAGGGTATTTTAGCCTCAAAACACCGTGCATTGTGGTACGTATGACCACAAGGAAGAACAATCGAGCCAACCAGCACTTCACATCGTCCACACGCGTCTCCACAGACGCCAGGACAGACATGACCGCAACTCTCTTGTAGTCGTGGACATGGCTGTGTACAGTAGACTGCTTTGTGGGACGGTTGATCCACGTGACATAATTTCGGGCATGCATGTCCACAACGTGGTAGCCTTCTTCCACAAGGACGCAGACAACCTCCATCCGGCGCTAGTAAAGCAAATGAGGATGGATCCGTCGCAACACGCTGGTAATCTGGGTGTTTTTGACAGTGTAAGGGTAGCCCATCACCATAGCAGCCATCGCTTTGCAGTTGGTCAAGTACGTTTTGCCAAAGGGGGGACTTGGTACGCAGCAACTCGCCATGACCCACAAGGATCAGTCCATGCTTCGCTCTGGACAGCAGCACATTGATTCGGTTCGGTGTTTTCAAGAATCCAATCGTTCCTCGGCCATGAACGTTCGTGCTGTTGCGAACCAGACTGGCCAATATGACGGTGGCTTCCTCACCTTGAAAATTATCAATAGTAGCCACACGAATGGCACCGGAAAGATATTTCTTGGTTGCTCCTAACGCAGCAGAGCTATCGTGTCGAATTTCGTTCGTGTCGTCGGCATCATCGTCTTCAAATGTGCGTTGAATCTCCTCCAAATCGAGTTCATTCAGCTCTAGAATAAACTGGCCTCGCAGTGCCGATCGCAGCTTCATTAGTTGGCCAACGTAAGGCGTGAGGATCGCTATATCACTGGTGTGATAACCCTGCTGCAGAAGGTATCTCAGAGCTGCAACGAGGTACGCGACTTCGTACTTGCTGGAATGAGACCGAGCTGATGCTCCCAAGACCGCAGATGCGCCGTCTTCGGGATGATTGTGGTTCACAAAGAACACGTTCTTGTCCACACCTAAGAGTGGAGGGTATTCCATCGTCTCACGCGCATCACGGACCTCAGGATAAAACAGCATTCGTATCAACTGAGAGATCTGTGGACGCATGCGATGCTGCTCTGTCAGTGTCCAGAAGGGTAAGCCTGAAGCAGGCGCAACTAAGCGCTCAAATAGGGATACATCGAGTGCAAACCGCTTGCCATTGGTACTTTCCACACTGAGATTGTAGTCAGCAATGTGCGGTCGTAGTTGTTTGTGATCCCCAATAAGCACAAGCTGCTGACAGGATGGAGACAGACACGCCATAAGCTGCGCTTCCAGTACCTCGCCTGCTTCTTCGCAAATCACCACTGGCGGAACTACAGCCGCGATCTTCTGTTGGTTTTTCGCAACTCCGGTCGTCGTCATTCCAATGATCTGCACACGTTTAAGCACTTCCACGTCTGCTTGTTGTCTTACAGTCTCAATCTTCTTCATAGTTTCCCAGTACGCCTTCTGAGCTGCGATAAGGTCTTCGACACGTCCAGTTCGCAAGTCCCCAAGCCATTCTGCTAGAGCCCCACGACGCTTTGCAAGACTCCACATCCACACATTTGAATCTCGCATCCATCCACCCTGGCGTGGCCCACGACGCTGAGAAGCACTGAGATCTTCGCCCTGAATCCAATAGTCCAAGATGTCGTCGCATCCAGCAACTTCCCAGCCATCCTCGTACAACTCGCTGTTGCGCTCAGCAAAATAGTCATACACATCAGGATAATTGGTCTCCAGGAACCATTTCAACGCCTTCCACGTCGGTCGACGCGTGTTCGAACTCAACTCTCGTAGTGCTAAAGCGATAGCATCCGCGTTTTCGTCGAGTTTCTCGTACAAAAGCTTCAGCTCGTAGCGCTGGAATGTCTTAGGTAAGTTATTGAGATTGTACTTCTCCAGTCTCGGCTCCTTACATTGTCCCCCGATACGTACAAGACTCGTGATCCCGATATCCAGTAGATGACACAAAAATTGGTCCAGTGCGTGGTTAGTGTAGCAGACAACAAGCACGGGCGAGGCTTTAGCCTCCACTATAACCTGCGTGAGCATGGATCCAATGAACGATTTGCCGCTACCAGGTAGGCCTTGGATACACGCCACGCGGCTACTGAGTGCTTCTACCAACGCCTTAGCTTGGTCACGCTCCAGTGTTGAGTAACGCACCAACGCAGCTTCACATGCATCGCGAGAGTGTTGCTGGAGAGGGTTTAAACGTAGCGACTGCGGACCGCCAGCAGTTTCACCGGGATATCTCTTTATCACCGAGCTAAGATCAAAAGTGAAGTCGGTTGTCAAGCAGTACATTGGAGACTCCATACGAACAGCTCCCTCTGGTGGCGTCTCTGGAGCTAAATACTCCAAGAACGGTAATGTTGCTGGTTCGAGTGTTTGCAGCGCACGGAGGACTGGTTCATAAGAGACAAGGAAAACCTTGTTGAACTCCAGCAACAGCATATTCTGTTGATTCCCTCGCATAAACGCTGAATGCTGCCAATTTTCGAGCGTTGCGAAGTCTTGGAACTCAAAAGGCTGCAGAGTTACCTCCACGACGTCCTTTATCAGTCGCTCCAGGTCACGCTCGACAATCTGACAGAACACCACCTGCAGTGCACCATCGACGTATGTGACTAGCGCTACCATGCCGTTAAACGGCAGTCGACCGGTCTTCTCCCACAGCTCTTTTCGGCTTCTAGTGTCGTCCTTCTTCTTTTTAACTCTCCCTGTCATCTCGGCTACTGATGGTTGTGGGAAGCGCACGTCGATGCAGAGTCCGTGACGCTCGAACCGACGGCTTCTATCTCGCTCACCTCGACTCTCCGTGTGTCTTAACGGCATGGCAGTCTCAATAATCGGATACACGTTGTAATCCACATCGGCATTTCTCAATCTACCAGCCAGATTCTTTCCACTTTCCGATAGTCGATGTTCAAGATCTTGTAAACACGATCGAATTGTGCCACACAGATCTTCTCGATACAGTCGAAAGTGGGTGTCCACCCAGCGTTCCGGCCCAGGCGGTAACCAATGAGCATTCTCATGGAACGGATAGTTGCCCGGTAGCAACGGTGTCTCGCGTGACAAGCACTCTTCACTTGTAGGAAGTAGCCGAATGTCACGGATATCCCGATGATCATTGTCGTGACGTGGACCTACGCTGCCGTCAGCTAACTCTGCTTCACCAGGTATACCCACTTCGATGACGTCCCAAGGTTCCGGTTCATCGCAACGTCGAGTCATTCTCCGTTCTGCTTCCCTTCTTAGCGCTACACCAGCTTCAATGCCGCGCTGACCACGTTGAACCATCTTGTGTAGTCGCTTGATTTCTTCTCTCATGACCTTAAAGCACAAGGTCGAGTCAAGTGAGGGCTCGTTCTCTTGACTACTCTCCATCCACTCGGTCGTCAATGCGTCGACATAGTTGACAGTCTCTTGATAAGCGTCTTCGTAGATAAAATCCTTAAACTTATTGCCCAGTAAGTACAGCAACCGGATGAAAGGAAGACACACTTGTGTGAAGCACAAAGGCGCGTATTTCCGCCCTTCCGCTTCACGTAGATAGCTCGCGTGGGTCAAGGCTCTGTCTTCAATGCTGTGACGCTCTACAATTTGCTCCAAGTGCTCCAAATACAGGCGAAAAAGCTGCACGTGGGCTGTGCGCAAGTATGCGTAGACGTAGTTTGCTTCGTCCATGTGCTGACTGACCATCTCCATACGTCGCATGGTTAACATGGTCACGAACAGCACGAGTCCTCGTTGAAACGACACGATCTCTCGACGTCTTCCGGCGTCATTTGAGTACGTGAGGTCCAATAACTCCTGGATCACGAGTACTCCACGCCCCTCATTTTTACCCAGCTCTCTCACAAATTGAGGAGCCAGATTGTCCTTACTCAGAGCGTGAAGTCCAGAGTTAATGAAGTTCAGCGCCTGTGTCTGGCTGTTGACTCTCCAGACATTGCTAGGGTCTTGTGGCATCAAGAAGCCCTTCCATAGCACCTCCAAGCGATCTTGGCCGGGCCAGAAGACCACCAGAGCATCGGAATGGCTCGAATAGAGAACACCTGACGCTAACTTGTCCGCTAATTGAATCTGTAACGTCTCAAGCGAGAACGGAATTGAGGCGGCGGGATTCTTAACGTTAGATCTCGGCCCGTTATTCTCTCTTGTATGAGTAGAGGTCGGTAACTGGATTGTGGAGTTTTGAAGATTGTTGTCTGTAGTATGGGAGAATTTGCACGAGTCTCCGAAGCGACATTTACCAGTGCGCTGGAAGTTGAAACAGATCTTCGGCATTGCTTCGCACTGGTTGCTGGGCTCCAACGAGCGGGGACCTGGAAAATGCGGAATGCCGACTAAGATATTGTTCACCGCCGCATCCGTGTCAGAATCTGACAGTCAGATGTATGATGGGTACAGTGTGTTTGGTACATAGTAATGACGCGAACAATTCGAACGAAGTGTTCCTGTTGACTTGATGTGCGTAATTTTTTTTTACTTAAGTATTTTGTTTTCTTTTTTTACATGGAGCCTGAAATTTACAGCATGCAAGCAAAACCAATACGGAACGCAAAGACAAGACAATCGACGGTCGATCGCTTACTCCTTGTGTAACATGGCCTCTTCTTCAGCAGCGGAGTACTCCGGGAAGTCAGATGAGGCACAGAAGTGCTGCTGCATCTCTTCGGTGAGTTTCTCATGTGCGAGTGAGTGCGCGTCCATGATGAAGACCTTCGACTTGATCCGGGGTACGGCCTGCCCCAGCAGCGTGTCTTCCATTGGAGAGAACTCTGGGAAGGCTGAGGCCTCGGAGAAATGAGTGGCTGCCACATCCTCGAGCGAGCCTTCAAGATTGAGTTGTGCCAACTTTGCAGCAGCATTGAGACTGGTCATGGACGACATTTTGGGCTTCATACGAGGCACAGCTTCTGAGAGCAGCGTGTCCTCCATAGGTGAGAATTCCGGGAAGGCCGACGACTCGGAGAAGTGACTCGTTGCGACTTCTTCCAGTGTTCCAGTCAGTCCCAAATCCGCTTTCGCTGCAGCACCATTGAGACTCGTCATGGTAGACTGTCTGGTCTTAATACGAGGCACGGTCTCCGATAGTAATTTGTCCTCCATTGGAGAGAACTCCGGAAAGGCTGAAGACTCAGAGAAGTAGCTTGATGCAGCCTCCTCCAGAGTACCTTCAAAACTCAATTGGGCCCTCTTTGCGGCGCCATTGAGACTGGTCAACGTACTATCATACTTGATTCGAGACACAGCTGTGGACAGCAATGTGTCTTCCATGGGCGAGAATTCGGGGAAGGCAGACGACTCCGAGAAGTGGATCGAAGCGACCTCCTCGAGCGAGCCCTCAAGCCCCAGCTCGGCCGTCATTGCAGCTCCATTGAGGCTCGTCAGCGGTGGCTTGACAGTCTGCAAAGCCATGAGGAGCGTTCTGGACGTGGAGATGCCACACGCGAGCAATTGTCGCTGGAAGGCAGGGGAGCGGATGACGCGGAGCATGATGAAAGTGTCTAGGCAGTTGATGAAGAGCTAGTTGCTGGCTTGGTCGACGTGAGGCGGAAGCGGATATGATCATGTGGGCGACGCTGCAATTCCTTGGGACGGGGTCACAATGGCGATGGTCTATGCAACTTCAATATGGGAACCCAATCCAAATTGAAGATACCCCCCAAAACGCATTGGATTGGGCAGCCGTGTCAGACGTGATACTCACTTAGGTACGAAAGAACGCTTGCATTAACGGCCGCTCTATCGTTTCTTCTACAAGCAACGAGTGGTTTGGCACCGCCATACTTTCAGATGCATGCACTGAGATCCACCGTGCATGCACGAATCTTCTGGTTGGCGGAGATTGCCATGTCCGGAGAAATCTCTTGTAGCCGTTCTAGAACGGAGCCGTTTGACCAATACGCGGCTTCTAAATCCACGGAATCAGCCAATCAGAGTGCGTATAATAAAACGGCAACTTCAACAAGATCAATTGTACATGCAGAAGGCTCATTTTCGATTCTGCCTCGAACCAGCCAAACCGAAGAAGCCCAAGCAAGCCCAAGACTCTAAGCACTCTCAACAGGTATGCTTCGCCTAATTCGCTCGCCGACATTCCAGCGTCAACTAGCGACCCGCGGCATCTCCTCATCCCGAACGCTGCTCATGGGTCTTCAGACGGCCAAGGCGCCGCTTACTAGCCTCAATAACGCTGCCACCAATGCGCATCTGGACCTGAACGGAACGTTGGAAGAGGTGGCAGCCCGATACTTCTCGGAAGCATCGGCCTTTCCCGAGTTTTCGCCCGCGGAGGACACGTTGTTGGGCCAGGCCGTGCCTCTTATTCCGGACAAGGTCCCCATTATGGACGCTCACGCCCTGGCCGAGGAGGAGCTCACGGCCGAGATTCAGCAGCACTTCTGCGAGTCCTCGGACTTCCCAGAGTATACGCCCGCCGAGGAGGAGGCCATGTTGCACAAGGTGATGCAGATGTGAGTCGGTAGGAGGCTGTCGCTAAAGACCTGCCCTGCACGTTTTATCAATGTACAACTGAAAGTCGAAGACAAGTCGAGCTGGTAGATTGGAGCTAGTGAGACGATTCCGGCTAATACTAATACAAAAAAAATGGTGTTCACTCCGGCGTTGCTGAAGCGACGTCGCGATTTTACTTCACAATCGTTTTCAAGAGTTCCGTTCGCGTCTGCTTCATCGCGTGGATCTGATCTAACGGCAATGAGAGGAGCTCAAGAGCTCTTGATCTCACGTCTTTTCCAGTGTCAAAAAGGGACTGGAGTTCGTGTGGTGGGATCAGTGATTGAAATGGAGGAGCCCGAACCATTACGAATCCTGGCTTGTACTTCCACCAACGAAAACATCGTCAAGGATGGAACAGAGATGACAATACGCGATCTTGTGACCGCCATAGTTGTGGTGAGCTGCACTAGCATGGTTGATCTCTGGTCAAGAATCAGTCATTTGTCGCCCGTATCATCTGCAAGATATCGTGGGTGTGAGCGTTTTGGGGACGATAAGACGTCAGCGGGTGGACAAAAGCTGAGCTGTTGGATGCAACTGGATGACAGCACGTACAGAAGCCTCATGATATCAGGATGAATGAAGACCAAGTGATTCGCAGCAAATTAGCGGTAACTGGTGAACTAACTTTACGTACATGTAGTGTATCGACTTCAACAAACTATTTACAAAATCATAATATAAGGATATGTGAAACGAGAATGCTACGCTCAGGTTAGTTTCTCGGTGCCCAGGAATATAGCTTGTTATCTCCCATTAGCCTGCTTTATGATTCTTAGTTTTCACCTTCGTGCGATCCAACGTGATAATCGGAAGCTGTCAGCTCGCCCGCTGCAGTCCTCTGATAGTGGCTTAATCTGAGTTGCTGTCATCCTTATTTTCGTTGCCCTATAATAAGCGGTTGGTGACTGGTGTTAATGCGCCGAAACGGTTCGCCAAGCCAGCCGAGACGGACGTGAGAGCTGCAACTGCAGCCTGGACGTCGAATATGCCTCAGGCCATCAACGAGTTGAACGTCGACTTCGAGGCGCAGGTAGATAGAAGTACACCGTCAACCACCAATCGCTAAAGCTGCAAATGCTAACCGAGTTGGAACTGTAGATCCAGGAGATTAAGCGGTTAATTTCGTCTTCAAACGATGCCGATCGACGTACAGCGTTAGAAGAACAACTACGCGAGTTAGAGATCCAGAGGATTCAAGCAGAGCAAGATCAGCAACAGGAACAGTTGGTACCTGCTGCCTCCAGGAGAAAGAGCTTTCGACCCACAAGTGCCAAGCCACGGATGTCTACTCTAACTCCACTGGCTGAAGACACCGAGGTCGTTTCATCGTTCCACGGACTAGAAGCTCACCACTTGGATGATACCGGACTCTCGCTTGTATCGGAGGTATTCAGCAGTTCTTATGATGAGGCTTACAGTCCAGAAAATGTGCTTGAGAACGGAAGTCGAACGCTGTGGGTGTCGAGTGGCATGTTTCCTCAATTCCTCCGAATTGTACTGCGCGAACCCAAGCGAGTGGCCACGGTGGAGATCACGTGTAGGCACGTTACCAAGCTTCAGCTACGCGCGTCATCCAATCGAAACGTTGCCATTAACAAGATGGCAGTGGTAGGAGAGCTCGAAGTGAGTGCTGCAGACAGTGGGAAGCTGGACACACATCGATTTGCATTGACTCGTCGAAGTAACAATGAAGCAAAGGGGGACGACGCGGATGAGAAAGAGAACGCTGAACCTGTAGAAGCAATCCAGATAGACATAGAGAGCGGGTACAGCGATTTTGTATGCGTGTACTTTGTCCGACTTCGTATCGGAAACGCAGGATAAAAAACTAAAAAATAAATACAAATAACAGATTAGTATAAACTAGACGCAAGGAAATTGAACATATACGACTTCAATCCAAAGTATGTCACTCATCATGTACCTAAGTACTTTGTTCATCACAACAATATCATGGCATCTCCATGTCTGCTTGAGTGCGTAAGAAGTCCACGAACTCCATTCCTGTAGCCAAGAATTGACGTGCAAAAGCTGGTAACAGTCGCCGCTCTGGTGTCAACGTTGGAAGCGAAAACTCTGCCTCAACCTTATCACGAACACTCATAAACCCATCCTCTGGGTCTCGGTCGGGGATGGTAAACTCGCGGATGTGCATCAACGATAGTTGCGTTTCCGATTCTGAACTGGAGTACTTAGCACCGCGTACATGTCGAACTGTGCCGATACACGCAGGCGACTCGCCAGCATCCACCAAATGACGACTAATGCGCACCTTGCCGCGAGTCTCGTCGCAAAACTCAATGACGCCTCGGCCGTCGGGTGCATTCTCGCAACACTTAGCCAGCTTCACATATAGACTGTCGGTCTTGGGCATATCCTCCGTGGTCGACACGTAAAACCGAACGTCCGGCGTCGAGTCCATCATGTGGCTTTCATCGTCCATTTCTTGCCGCATTTTCAAAGTAGCGCTAAACCAACGTGACGGGCGCGTCGATATCTTTACTAGTTGTAAATCATTCGTTAGTCGAATGTTGTACTCAAACGACTGATGCACAATGGATACTTGGTATGAATCGGATTCTTCAACCAATGTCATGCCCAGACGTTTTTCAGCGTACTCCTTCGTCCACGGCGCATACTGCGGCTCAATCATCGAGTAAAATGAATGCGTGGCTCCCTTATCACCTCGGGCGACAGTAGCAGCTTTCTGGAACGTCATTCGTGGTCGACGTGGCCGCCGCTTTGATCCCCCACCACCACCACCAAAGTCATCGTCATACACTTCCCGGTCGTCGTCCTCGCCACCCCATCCCTCCTGGTTCTCATCCGAATACTCCCCCCATTCCACCTCTTCATTTTGGTTGTCAGCTTCCGGTAGAACAGCATCTTGGTTGGCTTCTACTTGTGCCCTTTGCTTTTGCTTCGCAATCAGAACTGACTCGTACAGCTCGCGCGCAGTTCGACCGCGTTCGAACTCGTCTTCCAGCTTCTTGATACTCGCTAGCATGATCGTCTCCTCGTCGAATGAACGCGGCAAGTTGATCAGATAATGGTGTCCAAAACGCACAAACGCTTTTGCCTTGGCGACTCCAGGATTGAGATGTTCATATCGCGACAGCTTGATCATTTGCTGGATAAACTTGGCACAAAATGTAGCTGCTGCATGCTCGTACCACTGGCGCCCATTCATGAAGCAAATCAAGTGCGCTTGGTGCAGCTGAATATTGTTGTGTTCACCATGACGCTCGCCGAAATAACCTTGGAAGCCAATTTTCTCTTGCTGCGACTCTGCTCCCTCGAACAGCAACAAACTTGAACCTTCGTGGTGGAAATTCCGATTCGAACGGAAAGGCATTCGTGCACCAAGTTCCTGCTCAATCCTGCGTATATACTCTTCGATGCGTTGCACCGCATCGCCAGGTCCGATGATCTCAGCAACGTATAAATCCGAGCGGAGCAAGTTCGGGTGGAGCTTGAACAACAGGCGCGTCGAGCCCTCTGCTTTTGTTTCGAACAAGATTTTCCGTGAGAAGAAGTCACTGGCCTCATGAATCCGTGTACTAAGCGCATGACTGAGCGTGATCCGACTCGTCTGTTCTTCGCGATGCGTCAGCAAGTACTTGATGTCTCCTTGTGCGATAATTAACTGGTGAAGAGCGATATGGCACTCAGACCGGAACAATGTGATCGCTTCAGGATCCAGTTGCGTGTCGTTCTCTGGATCGAGCGGGTCAGTGAATCCGTAGTCACTGGCTGGAGTGGAAATCTTGGCGTAATGCGAGAAGAATGAAAGGAGAACATCTGCCGCTGACAGGGCAGATGCGTCCTCATTTCCAGACACCACTCGAGTCAGCAATTTAGTCCAAAATGAGATCTCTGAATCGATATCGTTGTCCTTAAGAATCTGTTTCACCGTGATGGTACCAGCACTAATCGGCTGTACAAAGTTCTGCTCCGTACAGAATCGGATGAATAACCAAATGAACCCCGTAGGTGAAAACATATCCTGTCCACCACCTGAGCGTCGTCGAATCAGTCCGACACATTTTCCCCAACGCACCAAGAAGTACACGCACGGCCAGAAGAAGTTGTATCGATCCATGTACGTGCGAAAGAGACGAGTTTTCACGGGGCCACTTGAGAACTTGCACATCTCCACTGACCATTGTTGAAACGAAAAAGACAAGAGGGGCACGCGAATGTCGTCCTTGAGATTGATGTTGCTGTGTGAGCCCTCCAGAGCCTCCGCGATGGCCTTCAGCGAGCCACGAGGGGATGTACAACAAACCATCACATCCAAGTCCGACTGCTTTTCAAACGTTAGTAGTCCAGACGACCCGAATAGAAGGAGATC